GGGCAGTGTCCGTAAAAGTCCTTCCCATGTGCCGCTTCCTGACACAGACATATAGATAGATAGATAGATACATAGATAGAGCTAGGCAGGTAGATAGGTAGCTAGATCTAGATATCTGTGAACGTGTACGAATCAACATATGCACTGTTTAATTACTTTTATATGTATATGTCCTGTATCTACCTGTGTAAGCGTGTACATGTTTGAGTATGTATACGTATATGCATGTACCTCCCTTTGCGAACCACGAATCACCTCCTAAGCTACCTGGCACAAAGCTGTTCATTGAGAACTTCTGCTGGCTTGCCAAGCTTCTTGTTTGCCGAGGCAAAATTGGGAGAACTGCAGTGCAACCAGGACCGCCGCAACATATACTTACTTACCAGGCAATTGTAGAAAATTGTAGCATACGTTCTTGGCGGCCCTTAAAAAGGCTGCCGCCCTTTCACAGTGCTATGCTAGTGGGAGGAAGCGCATCCCCCAACGAAGGAAGTGCATGCCGTGTGTCATGTCGTAATTGTTTCCGCGGCCGCTACTGAGGCCAACTGCCATCACCTACAACACGCTGCTGTCGAGTTGTAGAAAGAGCCGCGAAGGGTTGACAGGGTTGCGTGAGCGATAGGCGCGTACAGTACCGGGGCAAGCCCTGAACATTTGAGGGGCCTATCAAGAATTGTGTTTTTTGTTGGTTCGTCCGACCTTTTGACGTGCTGCGTTCAGCGAGGGTCCATGAACAGAGTCATAACATAATTGTGGCAATCCCGTGGCAACCCCGCTATTTGGGGCCGTTAAACATTTGTCCCCTTTCTTAAACGCAGGTCTTCCTGGTGGCATGAGCCAGGACCCCAAAAGAACTGCATCCACGGGTTCAAGCACCACCCGGCTGTTGAAGATACTTGTAGTTTTCGTGTTTAGATGGTCGATGGATACGTGCCAAAACGTGCTGGACTTCCAAAGTGTTGGCTGAATCCGATCAGGGGATTGGTGCACGTGGTTTATACCCAGCACCCACCACACCTGCAGAGCATTTTTCATGTCGATTACTCGTGCAGCTGCGGTTTTTGAGGTTTTGCTTGTGCACGGGGAGACATGAGCGCCACTTGGCCACGCCTGTCCGGAAGATGCCTTTCGCGCGTTCCCCATACTCATTCACATGGGTTTTTTGGCAAGTTTCAGCCGGTCTGCTTTAAAGAGCGCCTTGGAAAAGTGAATGGGCCCCAAAAAGTGCAGGATTCCTTTTCGAGAGGACCACCAAAAACTGTACCATGGAACAAGAGAAAGATCTGAAGCAAAGGCGGCGGAGAGCGTCTTGTTGCCAATTGGGTAGTGCATGATGTTGCATTGCTGGGTTTTCTTCTCCGCTTTTGGTCGTGTTTTGGATCCAGGGTCTTGCCAATGTGGTGCGAGCCAGGATAAGGCGATGTGGTTTGTTTTGGGGGCTAAAGTCTGTTAGCGAACCTGCTTGCAGGCTTGTCCAACAAGTGACTGGCATAAGGCTGGAACACAGGTCACGCTTTCCGCAATCATTCTGAACATTTAAGCTGATGGGTCGAACCTCAGACGCAGAAACACGCAAAACAAAACAAGGAACCCGCGCGAAACCCTCGGCGACGCTGAACTGAAAAGGCTTAGTGGAGGGAGAGCCTTTGCGCAGGACTGGTGACAATGACAGTCGCAGCCCTGGAAGACAAAGGGGTCCATGTACGTGTCACAGCAACGGCTTGGGGATCTAGCAAAACCGGACGAAAAAAAGGGGCGTGCCCTCCTGTTGCGTTGGTGATGTGTAGGGATGAGGAGTCGAACAATGAGTGTTGACCGTGAAAAGCACGCTTTGCTAAATATGGAGCCAACGTATGGTCAGACTTGGACACATTTTGAATGAAGCCTCAATTGGCTTGCGTGAAAGTCACGAACCGCTTCTTTCAAACCGTGCAGGTCCGCTCCAAACACGTGACCGCAAAGTTCAAGCCCCGGAGAAAAAAACAAAGAGAGAGTATGCGCTCAGTCGGAAAACGCCCGAATGCCTAGCGAGGCATAGCTTTCTGGCTGTCAAAGCGGAAGGAAGCAGGCCGGCCGCATTTGTCATGCGTTTGAACAAGAACGGCCTTTGTTACCTTGAGTCAACTCATCCAAAAAACGCAGTGCTCTGTCATACTGACCAACTGTTGCCGCCAACCTTCTCTTGGTGATATGTTGGCCAACAGCTTATTCGTGGGAAAGAATAAATTTGCATTGCGGTGTTTGCAAGCAATGGAACACGCGGTAGCGTGTCAAGCCACTGTGTTTTCGACCATTCGAGATGGAATGTCTTTGCACTCTTGGCCAGATCTGCCTCCTGATCTGGTAACCTTCAACAACATGGTGGACATCCATGCGCGCAAGGGCCAGGCCGGAAAACGCACTTGGAATAATCGCCAACGCGGTTGCCAGAGCGCTGGACAGTCAGCCCGGCGCTTCTGCGAATCGTTGCGTTCCGTCACATGTCAGCAGTTCTCATTGGTTTGGGCCAAGGAATGGAGCGCCGAGTTGGTATGAAGCCTAATGGCAGGTTCGAAGCTGCGTTGTGTTGGGGCCACCCCCGGGCTGCATGATATGTTAAGAACCTATAAGATTCCTGGAACCCACATCCCTGGTGAGTCCTCCAATCAGAAGTTCCTCCCGGTGCACTCAGTGAAAAGTGGTGCCGCAGCACGGCGGTTTCAACGGGATTGGACCAAGTTCGTCAAACCAGAAGCATGTGAAGACTTACAGAACCAAATTTATTAAGAAGGTTGTTCAAACAGCTGTGGCTTACACAAGTGCTTGGCCCAGCCCTGATGGTCAATCCCCAATTTCAAGAGGGCCTTGTTCTTTTGCTTTCATCCGCATTAAGCTTGTCCGGCCTGGCAGCAGGATGTTCTTTACAGAGCTGGCTCACGGGAAAGCACAGGGTATGCTGATGGGACCCGCTCTGATTGCCCCATGCCATCGTATGAGATGTGCAATGCTCGCCAATTCTTTCATGAGGCGTTGGGCAACCGGTGTATTTTTCATTTTCTGGTCGGTCCCGTTTGGCACCCATGACCCAGTTTCGGACGAGGCTTTGCCGCTTGCCGCATGTCTACCGGCGGGCAAGTATTTGCTCGCAGGTGGTCGAAGCGGTGAAGTGGCTCGAGAGGCTCAAGGAAGCAGGCTCAGGGACTCAGGGCGGGGGTTGCAAATTGCAAAGGGAACCACAGCCAACTCTGGACGTCTCGCTTTCAAGTCACTGCCTACATCGTTACATAAAGACTCAAGAATGCCATCCACCTGCGCTTGCAGACGGTCACGTTTGGTTCCTATCAATGTTTGTTTTGCAAATAATTTGGCTTTCAGACTTTTCAAGCAAGCGGTTCCAAATTCAACATTCAGGCTTCTCGGTTCCCGTCGACCTTGCCTTGTATAGCAGGACTGGCAGATGTGCGCTTGCCCCGCGAGTATGTCAAGGGCCCCAGACAACGCCTAAGCCAACCCTGCAGATGGGAAAGTATGAACAAGTATGAACAAGAGGCATGTTTTTGTCCAATGGCCATTGTCGTTTGCTGATGCCGCCACACTGCGCATCTAAGCTGCGACTGGTGCTTTCTTCGGTGGAAAAAGTGTCCAGGTTTGATCATGGCACCGGCGACTTTCTTTCCCAAGCTTCCACTGGTGAAATGAGACGAGTGCTTCCAGCAAACCTGTTTTCTGCGGGAAGTACATACTTCCTGGTTTCTGGGATGGGGGTTTGTGTTGATTGCTGGCTTCCCTGCTCTTTGGTGAAACCTACTTGCTGTTGTTTTGTTCACAGGCCCTGGATATTGTGGAGAAAGGGCGGCCGGGCAAAAGCTCCCCACAAGGTGGCAAACCCAACAGTTTCCCTAAGTTCAGTATGCCCTGGGGAGGAGTGACGGGTTTGTGTGTGTGCGTGTGCGTTTGTGTGTGTTGGGTTTGCTACTCCCCCTGCAGATTCACATGGACCCCTTTAGGGCCCGATTCCCAAAAGGAGATTCCTTTTTGCTCGACCCAGGGTTTTCTCCGAACGAGCGCTCCTACTCGCCAGTGGCGCAGTCCTCAGAGGGTTGATGGTGACCACTTCCTCCTAAATCAGTTCCACCTAATCATAGTTTGTTCTTCTGGAAAACAAATAGACCCGTGAACAAAGTCCCAGGCTCTACCTGGAGACTCCACCTGGCCCTTGTCCAAATGAGCTTCCCCTTTTGCCAGACGCAGAAAGCATTGAAATTATGCGCAACAAACACTCCCCCTAACATCATTGCAGTTGGGGTCGGCCGGAACTTTGTTGGTTTTGTTTTGGGTTTTGCCCAGCTCTTGTTTAGTATTCCGGAGTTGGCGATCCGGAAAATATGGTTTATTCATAGGATTCATGTAAGAAGTATTGCTTTGAGCACAGACTGCTCTGCAGGAGTTGCCAGTTGGTGGAACAGTATCTGGCACTTATTCCCCTGGCAGACTTTCTTGGCAGTCAGGGCACTGCGTTCTTGGCAAGCCGTGATCATTGCAGCCGCACGCTCATCCCACAGTTTGGCAAGGGCGGGTCAGTAGATTCGATTGAATTGGTCGGCCTGCGCAGGAGTCGCACGATTGCTTCAAGAAAACTGGACTCGATTTACGAACAGGTCCATTAGGGGAACATGCGACTGTTTATCCGTGGCTAATTCATTAGTGATTTCCCCTTGGTCCAGCAAAAGGGTCTTACAAGTGATGACATCCCCTAAAAGGGGCAACCCGAAAAGCAGCTCGCTCATGGTTTAGATGCGCAGATTGTTGATATATCCCTGTCATAGGTGCCCCTTCAGGTCAGTTAAGTAGATGGCGCGGGTGTCAGTTTGGTTCTCAATTACTGCTGGTCCAAAAGGACAACTAGGATGTGGGTGCGGTGTCGCTCAAAATCAAAAGAGCCAGGGTTATGCAGGTTTTGGTCTTTGGTTCCAATTGCCAAGGGTGCCATTTTGGTACATGTTTGTGAGACACAGCCATATGGCTGTGGGTGAAAACCAATGGTACCATTTTGGGGTAGGTGCACCACCCATTTTAGTCCATTTTAGTGGGGGTTGGGATGTTCACTGGGGGTGCGGGCTTTTGACCCATGGCCATATGTCTAGACAAATGAGAGCGACCTCATTTTCTAGCAGACTGAGTCTGAGGTGCTCGCCTTTGCTCGCAAAGGAGACACCCAGGGCGCGGGGATGTGGTGCAGGTCGGGTGGGTGTCTTTGTTGGAGCCAAAAAGCTGGGGCGTAGGCTTGGTGAGGCATATATGGCTGTGGGTCAAAAATGGGTACCCAAAATGGGTTGCCCTGGTACATGGAAAAAAGGACTTAAACCTGCGGTCCTTTGGTGGCTTATTGACCCACACCCATATGTTTGTTGTTGCTCGTTGCAATCTACGGATTGCAAACTCAGAGCGGGGAGGGGTGGGTGGGGGCCTCCGGACCCTAAAGCGGAGGTTTTGACGCCAAGACCCCCACATTCAGCACCATTTCTGACGGTTTTGCCTGGACGCAAGTTACCTAGACCCAAAGACACCTAGACCCAGCACCGACCGTGTGCCAATTGGGCGTTTGGCCTCGATGAAGAGCCCCTTTTTTGTCTGGATGCAAAGGCAACCTGCGGAAACCAACCTGTTCTCCCGGCCGACAACAAAGCCTTGGTCTCAATAGGGTGTGTGTTTCTTCCAGGCCCTACCAACGACATAGGTTCCACCTTGGGATCAATGTTTGGTGCTGGGAAATTTGCAATTGGCAGATTTCCCCGTGGCTTTGTGGCGAAATGGTCGCTTGCAGCCAGCGCTTTGAACGTGTGACTGCCGTCGCGAGCCTTGCTCATGTCCCAACTTGGAAGTTGGAGGCTGAGATGCCAAGCCGGGCTAGGACCCCATAGGTGGGCGACGAAGGGGTTGGGCGTCTTTTTTGGAGGCTACCTTGTTTGGTAGTTTGAAGGGGATACAAAGGGAAACCGCTGTCATTCCGGATCCACATTTTCAGACACACCTAAACAGATTCAGAGTGAGAAACGCCAGGCGAATGCTGCAAGATGATGCCTTGGGCTGAAGCTGACGCACATCATGAGCGTGAGCAACGCCCAAACTTGTGCCGCAAGTTTGGATCATTTTAGTAGGTCCTCCAATGCCCTGGTTCTTTTTTGCGTTTTGGGGGGGGGAGGGGGGGGGGGGGGGACGGGCAGGTTCTTCGTAACCTTTGCTCATGGACCTGGAGGTTTGGCAGTGGTTCTGCCTGGTTTCATCGGGTTGTTATTGTGATTCAGCGAGCTTGTCCAAACATGAGATCTTAAAGTCGACTGGGCTTCGGTGGGCTTCGGTTGCTGCTCCTGCGCTTAATCTCATGGCCAAGTCAAATACGAACAGACATTGTCACAGTTGTGAGCTGTGGTTCCATGGATTTGACCCATGGGTAAGATTTCGCGGTTATTTTCCGCTTGTTGCCAGTGATCAGTACGACTCCCAAGTGCCTTGCATTGTGACTCTTGAAGGATGCGACCGCCTTGCCTAGGCGGTGCTTTGAGACTCATGGCCTAGGTCTTTCCAAACGCTGTGGCGTTTGCGGCTTTGATTGACGCGTTTGCCGCGGGCTTACGCCATGTGCCGCAAGGGTGTCATGAGACTTGAGAGTTTCCCAGAATGGATGTCGGACTCGCTTTGGTATTTAAAGTGAAACCAAAAGGAAGCCACTGACTCGAGGGGGACCGGTGTCTGTTTTGAGAACCGCCCCTTCCCAGGTCATGAACCCGAGCATTTGAAGCCGCTCAGGTGGTCCAGCGTGACGCCAAAGGTGCGGACACGCTGCTATCTAGGCACGGAAGATTCAACGTGTGTTGCTATGGGTGTTCCCTTTTTGTTGATGTCAGCGGAATTTCTCAGAGGGTTCCCTTTTGGTATTGGAGGGAAGCCAAAAGGAAACCAACCCGGAGGGATGGGTGCAACTACTTTTGAGGGGCGGCCTGTTGGTGATCGCCAGGTTAATGAAGCAAAGCCCGGACCGTTTGGATGCTCGGAGTGTGAACGACGTGGTGCGGCTGTGCAGCCGCCAAGGCCGGTTCAGCGCCGCAGTTCTTTGTGAACCTGGATGCGAGCAGCGCCCAAAACACCCCCCACTGGACATTTTGGAAGGGAGTTCTACTACCTGATTTACAATGAGGCCTACATAATCCTTTATAATTAACCATCACAGCAGAGCCAACAGTCAATGGGTCTAGCACCAGCATCATGGCGGTTTCTATCGAGGAAGACACCTGCCGGGGGGCATGCAGGGCAGCCTTGAACAAACTCTAGCGCGTTTACTCCGCAGCTAGCTTCAGCCATCGATCCCAAGATAGCTCCGCGTGGCATTAGCCGTAAAGGACTGGGGGAGTGGGCGGGCGGGTTGACTCTTGCTTTCCGGTCGCTGTCCTACAGGTCCAGCTGGAGTTTCCAATCTTTAGCTGAGTCATTTGAGCCATGCTTACATGACTAATTAGTTGGCGAGCATGCTGATTTGTGTAGGGCCTCCTTGACGGAAGGAGGAACCTGAATTGAAGACTGGAAGTCATCGAACAGAGTTGCGTTCCGCTTTCTCACAAAACCAGGCTGTGCGGCGTGACAAGGTTCTCCATTTTAGCGACCGTGTTGCTGCCTCGGCGCATGAGGAGCCATCTTGGGCATGCCGCCGGAAAAAAAGCTGGATAGCTTCGGTACCTCAGCTGCAAAGCTTGGCTTGAAAGTTGCGAGGAGAAATGAAGGATAGAAAGGGACACTGCCAAGCGCAATAGGGGCAGATATCCGCCCTTTCCTTTGTCACGTATATTGTGGCAGGGTTTTGGGCAGACCCATTCTGTACCAAGTGTTGATTGAAGCTTAGTTAAGATCAAATTGACCAAGAATCCCTGTAGCAGGCTCTGTAGTTGGTGATTTGAGTGAAGGGGGTCTGCTCTTTGGATGGAGAGAGATGATTGCAGCAAGCTCCATACCCACCAAGGTGAAACCACACTGTATATTCATCGGCTCAATTGAGAGCTGCAGCGTGGTTCGCTTTGAAGCGTTTCAAGCTTGAGACCAGGGGCGAACATGTGGAATGATCCGGCATGGAGTGAATTGTCCTTACACTTAACCGCACCCGCGACTAGCCAGCATAGGAAGCTGCGCCATTGTCCGTGCACGTGTTGTTTCATCGAGGCAACGACAGATCATGATAATCCTTACCTGTAGTTCAATTATGTTCGATTGAGGGCTTCGGCCCATCTTACAACATTCCAATATGGAGGGGCAGCATGGAACTAGGAACCACATATGGCATGGGTGTTTCAGAGGGGAAAATTAACCCATCATGTTTGGGAGCTCCCGTGTCTCAGGATATACAGTATATTTCTGTTGCACAAGTGATTTGCTATTTTATGTGAAGTCTACCTCTGATTCCTGATGCCGATGCCCAATGTCACCACAAATCTGGGGTCCCGACTACTCCCCTGCACACTGGCATGGAAGGGGATTCGCTATTTTTTGGGGAATCGGACCCAACTCGTTTGGTTCCTTCCCTGAAACCTTGCACAGAGAAATATTATTTTGGACCAATCCATTTTTTGCGGACTATTTTCAGGCAGACAAACATTTGTTATCGTGCCCTGTTCTACAAGTTTCACCGGGTCTGGAAACACAACATGTTCGCAAACGAATGAGGTTGAAGACCCAACAATCCAACAGCAGCCACACCAAATTCTCCTGCGAAGTCTCAGGCCGCATTCATCACCAGCTCATGGGCGACCTGAGCCGGCGTGATCAAATCAGGGACTTTGCGCCTTGGGCGTAGCCTCGGCCTTTGGGTTGGGGGGGGGGAGTTGGGGGTTTGGGATGTCTTGGTGGCTTGAAGAGAAACCGACAGGAAAGTGACGAGTTTTGGATTTTAGAAAAAACATCCCCCCATTGACACGACAGGAGTTGTAAATAGAAAGGCCAAAATTCCTCAAAAGGGCCGAGGCAGCTGGATTTACAGTGGGGCCTATATAGAAATCTTTGTCACCATCTTGGTAGACCCCAAAATCAATGGGTTTTGGGTGCTGCGAGGTTGCATAGACAAATATCAAGTATCTGAAAACCAATCGAGGGGTCAGAATCGCAAGTTGTCTTGAGCTGAGTACTGTCTAGTATTGGAATAGGATTGGGGTCGTGTTACGAGAGTTGCTTTGTTCTGAACCCGTGCTGCTGAGAACTGAGCCATGCAGTACTGTTTCGCACCTCACGAAAGTCCGGATTTATTCAACTGCCAAAGACTGATCCTTCTCACCTGAATGTCTTTTTGTGTTGTTTCTCCTCCCCTCAAACAGCTGTTCTGGGGCCATTTGTCAACCATTGGGGGGTGCTGGTGAAGGATTTGCTGGTTTCTTGGGGCTTCTTGTCAGGTTTCGGATTTCGGATTGGTTGGACTTCGCCCTGAGGCCAAAGATATGGCCGAACCGCACCGCGGCAATCAGAATTGGCGGTGGGCGTGGAACGAGTTCGAAGCCACCTTGGTGGGGGCCATTGCAGGTACCAGTACCCAGGTGGTTTGGATTTGTGGTTTGGATTGCTAGTTGGGGACTTGAGCCCCCTGGCTTTTGTAGAGACCCCTCCTGAACCACCAAGCCACCAATCCATACCATACTGCTGAATCGCGATAATGGCTACTATTTCTCGAATGGCATGTGCTTCCCTCTTGAATCCATCTAGGGAATTCCCTCTTGATTTTGCAAAGTGATTTGGAGAAGCTGGGTGCCTTGTGAGAGCTTGGATGCCTCACCGGGGCAATGTCCGAAACGTCTTGGTATTCTACTGGCCTTCAGCAAACATCGGCACCATAGTCTTGAACAGGTTTGCGAGGCCGTGCGACGCAGGTTGAGCCACTTGCAAGCGGAGGTCACGTGTATGCCTCCGGGACCACTTCGAAATGGCTTCCCATGCAATGTCCCATAAAAGGGCTCAGTTCTATTTTGCCACGAATCCGCATTTGTCTTTCCGAGACTGAAGAGAGTGCCGCAACAAGTGAGAAGGTGCCGGCAGTGGACATCTCTTTAGGTCACCTTCGAGCTTTGACAAGCCCGTCTCGCTTCCCAACCTCCAGCATTGGGCTTTCGAGGGGAATGGGTTTGACATTTCTAGACTGAAACTTCTTTGACCAAGTTTGGCTGGCGTGCTCCGGAAAAAAACATGCCCTTATGTAAGAATTGCTTACAGATTGAACGGTTCTCCCTCTTTGCGCACATCCATATCCATGCTTTCCCGAAGGCAACACGTCAGCTACATATCGCTCATCTCTCTTGTCGGGCCCCGGTTCGGGATCCACGACGCAACCAGAAAGGCGGTTTTGGACTCAACTGGGGCAGAAGTCCATACCAAGAATTTATTCCTGGACAATCCAAACTGCCATTAAAAATGGATTTCAGCCCACAATTATTGGGCAATAAGCTCAGGTGATATCCCCAACAGCCCTCGCAGAACTTCGTGGAATTCTCGTGGAATTCTCGTGGAATTCTCGTGGAACCCTGCTGGAACCCTTGTGGAACCTTACCTCAGGGCCACCCCGAACCAGCCCGGAGCCTATCTGGGCTGAGACCCGAAAGCTTTCAGCTGTTGGGGAAAAACCCCATGTTAAAGGGAAGTCTGAGGGCCCAGGCAGGTTCATGCATCGCTATGTTGCGCTGTGAGTCGCCGTCAGGCTTGAGAGGAGCGGGCGGTTCGATTGCCGGAGTGGCAGCTCGTGATTGCTTCGAGTTTTGCCGAACAAAAAGGGGGCTTGGGGGTTCTTTGCGGTCCATGAGGAAGCATCGGCAGGCTAGTTGGTCTGCTTGGAAATCGGGTGCATCGCTGGATGACCAATTCAGCCAAGTGCTGAGGTCCCTTTAGCCTTGCCTTCCCATGGCAGTCAACTTTGTGCCTGTGCTCGTGCTGCTGCTGCTCCTGCCGCTGCCGCTGCCGCTACTGCTGCTGCTGCTTGGAATGAACCTTCCAACCGTCCCCCATAAGAACCAGACCGTCGGTCATTCGTCATGGTCTGAGAATGATAACCTTGCATTCTTTGGCAGGAGGCACGTCAAGAGAATGAAGGCCGCGCAGTCTTTGCCGGCGCCGTTCTCAGAGGTGTTACCGCGCACTTTGTGTCATGCCGTGCAGTGTTTCCCACGGCCAATGCAGGTATTTGTTTTCATCCTGGCAGCGCACCATGCGCCTATTTTACTTTCCAGACCGCATCGGAAGGTAGAGTGACACACGAGCACACTGCAGGCTGAGAGTGGTGTTGAGTCGAGTGGAAGTCGAATTAGACAATTTGCTCCCATACAAACCCGGCTCCTTTTGCACCTGCCCGCAACCCTTGGACCGTTCCGGAGCGGTTTTTGGAGCATCGATGCCACCTCCACAACGAAACTCCAGACCGGCCTCCCAGAATCGGATTTTTATCCACCCGGGATCAAATAAGTTGGAGTTGAGTGAAAGCAAGATGCCACACATTTTTGCCTCATGGCCTTCCTGTTGTAAGAGCCCTGGATGCGGGGCTTGAGCCTTGCGAGTCCGCGACTTTAGATAGGAATCACGGCTGGATCGCGACCCGCATTGGTCTAAGCTAGAATCAGCTAGAAAGGAAGTGTGGTCCAACTGCTTTGGCCTGGAACACCAGGGTATGGATATTTGTTCTTTGGTTCCTGTACTGTCTTGTCCTTTGCATCAACTAGAGCTCAATAATATGCTTTGGATCAAGCAGGGCGTCTTTGCATTCACATGGCAGCACCTGCGAACGACCCCCCCGCCCCCACCCCACTCCCCGCGGCCTCAGGGCCTCCATTGCGGCCACCGACCCATGCGGCGCTTCTGGGTCTCAGGCCGGGAATTCGAAAGCCTTACAGGTTGGTGTTGCTTCTAAAGACAATATGACAAAGCTGGATTGGTAAGCACAGCGTGTGCTGTCCGCCCAGCCAAGTTGTCCAGTCGCCGCCTTTTTCCCGTAAAATATTCGGCAGTTGACATTTGAAAGGTGGCAGGCAACCAGCCCCGCTCTCAGGGTTTATGAGAACCCACGTTTTGATCATGGT